CATGTTTGGAAGGCAAACATGTTGGAACTGATGAGGCGGCCCATTGGGCCGCCATGATGGCAAGAACTACCACAAAATCACCCATGGCAGCCAACGCAAGTTTTATTCCCCAGGCGATATGACATTGAGCAATCTAGTTCTATCTAGTATGGAGATGCTTCCTGCACTTGCAATGCTTGTGGCCCCTCTCAAGCCTCGTGCATGCATCACCGCACACACAGCAACAGCCATTGCAAATTTGTACTCCACGCAGAGGATTAGGAGCTTCAGGATCGTCAGCTTCATGGTGTCCAGCAGATTGGTTAGCCAACTTTCGTTGAATAGCATGGACAACTGCCACCAGCATTTGCACCAGCTGCCACAGTGACATGTCGGTTTCAAATGGCAAACGGTCCATCGGAAAAGGCGTCTTCCCTATGAATATGTATATCGTAGTATCCTCGAACCAAATGCCTTTCGATATTGTACGATCGACTGGTATAAATACCTTCAATACAGATATAGGACCTAGGACCTGTTTGCTATGTCAAGTCAGGCGGCTCAATGAGCTGCCTCATCATGCCCAACATGTTTCCAAACCAAACCCACAGAACAGGTTGTAACTGAAAAGGAGCGAACTGAAAAGGAGCGGCCCATTGGGCCGCTCTCAGAACAAACACCTGACACCCTACGCAGACTGCATGACGCCATTTTTAGCCTAGCTTTGCCTTGGCTTGTCTTGCTGCAACCTGCTTGCCACCCCTTTTCCTATGCTGGTTCCTCACCAGCGCCTCGAATGACCGCTTCGATCCAAAGAGCTCCTTGTGGTGAGACAAGGTCTCCACGTAGAATCATATACTCATGTCATGTGTATCTCTGTTTTTGATACCAATGGAAAACTGAAAATAAACTAACTGAAAAACTAGACGACGAGTGGCCCGAAAGCATTTTTCATCACATAGGAAATCAGAGTGCGAGTTATCCGGTAAGTGTGTAGTAAGAAGTGTTAAGTCGAGTGAGTTGAGGTAGTGTGTGGGTTTCTGTGCGTGTGTCTATGTCCGTGTGGAAACGAGTCTGCGTATGCGTGTGTTCGTGGAAGTTGAGGGAGTGTGTGGGTGTCTGTGTGCGATGCGGCCTCCCAAACCCCCCACCGGCGGCCAAGCGGTGACAGCCCAGCTCATCGTCGTGAGCATTTGGGCTGCTGGTAAGGGAACAATGGCAGCCAGCGTGCTGGCTTACCCACTTCAACTATGATGGCAGCCAGCGTGCTGGCTTTGCCATCTCAACAATGGCAGCCAGCGTGCTGGCTTACCCACTTCAATTAGGATGGTAGCCAGCGTGCTGGCTCATACCCACTACAACTATGATGGCAGCCAGCGTGCTGGCTTTGCCATCTGGACAATGGCAGCCAGCGTGCTGGCTTACCCACTTCAACTATGATGCTAGCCAGCGTGTTGGCTTTGCCATCTCAACAATTGCATCACCACATGCCGCACTGCAGACTGAATTGGTCGTGGTAGCCGCTGAGTACTAAATTTGTACTACCAAGTCGCCAGTTCTCATCTTCCAGCTCCCCACCTACTCCGCATACTAAGGTTGTACTACAAAGTCGCCAGT